GTTGTGATTGTGCCGAAGGGGGCCGAGGATGAGGATGAGGATGAAGAGGGAAGAGAGGAGTTTGGTATTTGTCAGCTGGTTCTTGTACGATGATGGTTCGTTTCTGTTGATTGTTATTGTACGTTTGATGCTCTGGGTTGATGAATCAATGATCAATGTTTGCGAATTTGAAATCATGGTTTACTCTTTTCTTTTGAAAATTCAAATAAGTTGCAATTTGTTCCGATATATTTCTTATTTATTTTGACACTAAAGCTTTGCTATGTTATAGGAAGGAAGAAAGAGGTGAAAAGATCTGATGTGTAGTTGCTTAATCCTGTGGTAGTTCATTGGAGTTTCACGAACTATTTATTTTGATATTGCACCAATTTGATGGTTCATAGTTGTGGTTGTAGATTGATTGCTTATTATGTGTGAAAGTTGATGTTTAGATTGAAGAAACCAGTGAATGATTATCAAGGGTCTAACCATATGCTTGTTGCGGGTATGGTTCAACTCATTTAAAGTTGTGTTTGCCATTTTTATGTACTGATAGCTTGCTTGTGTGTTTGTGTTTAGTTTCTAGTATATTCGGCCCGCAATTTATGTGAATGGTTAAAGAACTACTATGATATTCATATGAACTGGACTTTGCTATTATGGTATTCATATATAGGCTTCTGGAACTTCAATTGTATCATTATCATCAGTGTCTATAGTTTTCATGAACTTGTGTCTTGTTTTGCCAGCCTGTTATACTCAGCTGATCCTTACACTCAAAACTTTTGATGTTTAAATGATATACACATGCATGAAGTACATTTGCACATCTATAGGAAGTGAGGGAATTTATGTACTCAATATTTGTACACACGCACATGCATGCATGCCCGTGCATAAAGAGACATACATGCATGTGTATATATAGTTTCTATTGTTGTCTCATTTCCTAGTTCCCTTTGATGGCTAACTGATTTCTTCTTTCCTACTGCACATGTATGAATCTTTTGTAGCCACCATATATTTCATCGAAATTCTTTGGCTCAACATAGTTTTGTGCTTGTGGATGGCGGTTTATTAATAACTTGTATGCCATGTTGGTTTGTAGTTTCTCTAATAATTCTCAAATATTACTGCAATAAAGATGTGAGCTTGTGATGTCAACCTCTATGAGAGAAGAACTCACTGATTTGAGGAGAAGCTTGAATTTGAAGGATAAATTGATTGAAAAGTACTATGATATTGAGATGTCATGAGGTAATTTCTAAACTCAAACAAGAGTTTAAGTTGAATAAACAAAGGAAATGAAGCTTGTTATTGCTTGGATGAGGTTGTGAAAATAAGAAGAGAAGAAATAAATTTGATGGGTGAGCTTGCAGAAGAAAAGAGGAAGAAGATGTTAATTTTTATAATAGGATTGTTTGTACTCTTTACTCTTGTATAGTTTCTCCAGAATTGCTTGTAACGTGTCATGTTTCATTGTTCAGTTAATTATACTATATGTTCTTGTGGTTTGGTTGTACTTAGATAAAAAATTAATAAAATGTATTGTGTCTATTTAGTGATCAATTTTGGTGTAATTTATTACGATTGTATGTGAAATGTATTGTGGCTGTCATGTGAATATATACAAGTTCATTCAAATAGAACAATTTGGATGGAAAGAGTATGTTTTGCACAGATCTAATTTCTAGATTAGAGACTCACTAAGGTTACAATTTTCCTTATAAGCAAGTATGTTTGAGGGAACTGCTTATGAAATCTCAAAGACAAAGGAAAAATATTGCAAGTGTTTGCTATTGTGATCCTAAACATGCTTAAAATCACAATGTTGGAGGATCAATAATTTGGTGTGTACTCAATCACGTGTGAGAAATCGATTCATGGCATAAGAAGTATGAAGTTTGTTAACTTTCAGGTGTATATGTTAACAATATGAAATGAGCATGTTAACTCTCTATATGTTGGCTAAAAATGTTAACAATATGAAATGAGTATGTTAACTCTCTATATGTTGGCTAAAAATGTTGGCTTTTAACCTGAACATGTTAGCTTTCACATGAGCATGTTAACTTTTATCTGTATATGTTAACTTTTAGGTGTATATGTTAACATTCACGTGAACATGTTAACTATCAACTGTATATGTTAACTTTCATCTACGTATATTAACTTTCTTATGAACATGTTAACTTTCAGCATAGTATGTTAACTTTCAACATAGTATGTTAGTTTTCTTATGAAGATTGTTTGATAGGATGAATGACATGAACTTGATTTTAAAACCTAATTTAATTGGATCTCGCAAGTTTGTTTGTGTTTCATCGAAGTTGTAATATGTGAATTTGTAAGAATATTCATATTGTATACCCAAGCAATATCACCTGAAAGAAGTTTTAAAAGCAGCTTATCTTTTTTGTTTTTTCGACTATGTTATCTTTCAGCTGAATAAATTATCTTTCACGTGAACATGTCAACTTTCTTCATCACGTGTTAACTTTAATCTGAAGATATTAACTTTCATCCTAATATGTTAACTTTAATTGTTACATGTTAACTTTCATCATTATATGTTAACTCTCCTCATAACATGTTAATCCAAAATTAAAACAACATACAAAAATGGAGACAAACATATGCCTCATTGTACCAATAGACGTGTATTAGAATCGACACATTAAAACTTCAAGAATAAGAAAAAACCCACTAAAGTAAAACTTGCTACAACTTCTCATGATATCTTAAACATATGTAAATCGTTCAAGCCCACAATTATGGATCATTCTTCTACTCAGTTTCGAGTACAACCACAAAAAAATAACTAACGGATCATAAGTTCTCACAAGTTCAGACATGTTTTTTTATACAAATATCTTACAAAAAAACACTCCAATCTCCATGCAAATCTACAAATTTTAGTATACATGCAATCTTTAGAAAGAAGCTGAGCTTGATCTTCGCAGTTGATGCTTTGGTTCTGGTGGCGGCGCAGAATGTAATATTGTTCTCTTCTTCAAGTCGTGAGGCCTTGATCTCCAGTTCATTGGTATATGTCTATCCATTACAAAAACAAGCTTCTCTCAAAACACAACACATTCATAAGATGAGAAAAAGTAATCATTCTGAGAAAAAGTTAGCATGTTATGAAGAAAGTTAACATATTATTATGAAAGTTAACATATAACAGTAAAACATATTATGATAAACGTTAACATGTTTACCTGGAAAGTTAACATGTTACGAGGAGAGTTAACATATAATGATGAAAGTTAATATGTACCAGTTAAAGTTAACATAGGATACATGTCATGTTCTTATTAATCATGTTCTTGCTGATCATGAGATTTGACAGACATTCTATGTTCTCATGAGATTTAATATTAATCAAAATTTTACTTATTTTGTCACACATAAGAGACAACCAAACCGTATGGTTAGATAAATAGCACAATTATCGGCTGGAGCTTTTAGATGTTATAAATGTTGCAGCACTGGATTCACAAAGGTAACGTCAGCTGATAAAAAACTTGGTAAAATAAAAATTCTAAGCCATTGCAAAACAAAATCTTACAGTTAAGAACACACCCAAAAGAGAAAATTAGTAACAAATTTTTAAAGTAACAAATGGGCACAACAAAACAAATAATTTTTTTTCTTCTCATATATAATGAACAACGAAGAGCTGATGGTTAATTCCTTAGAAGGTTGTGGTCCTGGGGACATTGACTTACATTGATCATACCACAGAGTCTCAAGACTCCCAAATAAAATTTCATATGTTTATGTGTAATACTAAGCTTATTACTTCAGTGAAGCAAAATGACAAACTACTGGTGTGCAGGGTACAAAAGAGCCACAAGAATCAAACACACATATATAATCATAGGAAAGTGGGTTACGCCATGAATCTGCACCTATAAAACCACTCAAAGGAGAATAAAATTCAAGAACTGAAATAATTAATCACTCACCTGATCACCATATTCAACGTTAATATACTCCCCCTTCGCCCACTTTATTTGCCTCCAAATCTCTGATGCCTTGAACTGAAACTCCTCCCTGCTAGCCGAAAAATAAACTGAATACAGTAAGTCTCCATCTCTCCCCGGCACTTTGGTCACCACTCCCTTCCACCAGACTCCGTTGTAGAACACCTCGACACACTGGTGGAGCTCGAAATCAGTAGCGAGATTCGCCGACGGAGGCCGCGGCCGTATCATAGTGTGAATGGTCTTCTCCTCGAGAGGCTTGAGGGGTATGGGATGTTCAGCGATGAGAGTAGAGTAGGAGAGGAGAGGCGGGTGAGGTCCCGGCCGTGGGTGAGGTTGGCGTTGGGTCTGGTCGAAGTAGAGGGCGACGGTGGAGGACCACCACTAGGAGAGGGAGGGGGAGGGGGAGGGGGAGGAGGAGGAGATTGAGAGAAGGGGAGGAAATTGAGAGGAGGAGGAGGGGGAGGAGTTGCAACAAGATTGAGAGGAGGAGGAGGGGGAGGAGATTGACAGGTGGAGGAGAAAACCACAGAGAAGAAGAAGAAGAAGAAGATAAGGGAGGGATATTTTCAGAATGTTTTGGGATGTATTCATGGGAGAGTGTGAAAATGGGTCTGAACACATTTTTTAGGATTTTAAGGGTTAAAGAGTAAGGGAAAAAGATGGGGGGTTGGGCCACATTCCCTTTATTTCTTTGGGTCCTAGACACAATTTCCCCCCAAAAAAATTAGGTAACAAAGTTAGGAGTAGATTAAACTTCGGGGTATTTAAGTGCTAATAACCAAACAAATAATTCCTTTATCACTTCTGCAGACTAAGATTGTTCTAAACAAAAGAAGAAATCGTTAATAAAAAAAGATGGACGGGGTTAACACACACACACACACCCCCAAAAAAAAAAAAAAAAAACGCTTGCCGGGTTCATAATGTCGCCATAGTTGACGACTCGTCATATCTAACACTTTACCAAATTTCTTTTCGTTCCGTAATATGTGCGAAGCATGAGTACTTTATTGTAAAAACTCCACGCATCACCTCTGGCCGAGGCCTTTTCCCCTCAACGTCTCCAGGTCCTAACAATCCCAATTTTTCTCCCACAAAAGAAAAAAGAAAAAAGGGTTTTTGATCAAACTCTTGATATTCCATATTGATTTCAAATAAATTTCTAAATTCGTATCCCAGAATGGTATTGCTGATCAAGTAAGAAGAGACAAACCCTAGGATGAGGTCGGAGTTCAGCCTCGCTGCGAGCGCTCCGAGGCTCGACATCGACAATCGGATCTCTCTGCGGTACTACTATCGGATTGCCCGTGCTCTGATCAAACAGGTTCTGATGATTTTTGGGAATTTTGATTAATTGTGTTTTTTTTTGTGGGGTGGGGGGAGACAATTTGCATGTTTGGTTTCTTGTGTGAAACGAATTTGAGCTAATTTTAATTTTAGGGATAAATTTGGATATTCTTATTTTCATTGATTTGGAGAAAGGGGACTCAAAAATATTCTATGGAATAATTTCTAAATTGTGAAGTCCTGCATACTGCAAACTCAATTACTTGTTTAGGACCTATCATGAATGTGAAGCACAATACATGGTTCGTTGTATGTCACATTGCTATCGACTTGTTTAAAGGTTGAACTTTTTAGTAAAATAGGAAGGACTAGTTTAATTCTGAAGTATTTTAGAACTTGTTTTTGTTATTATGAGGACAGAACATGAAAATCTGGCTATATTTACAGAGACCATGATGTTTTCATAAACATGCAAACTATTGTTAAGTAGCGATCTGTGACATTCCTTTCGTAGATGAGGTGTGACGAATTTTTAGAATCCATCCTTGTTGACATATTGGATGGTTGATGTGTGGGATGGGTCCTTGTCCCACAGTTAGGGCTCTATCTCATCTGTCAACCAGGTTTATTGGCGGTCTTTTTGGGGCATGTCTTTCTTCTTTCTTCTCCTCAACAACATCCTTCCTTTTTCGGATGCGTTAGTTCTTTATCAACCAGCCTTTGCTTTCCTTTCTTCTTCTCAACAACATTCGTTTGTTAGCTGTATTTCAATGTTAGCTTGTGTCTTGGGAGTTACACAGGTTTAGTATTTCATGAGCGCAATGATCATAATACAAGCAAATGGGATCATCTTAAAAGTCAAAAGCTCCTCAATCAGTTGGTAAAACTTTGTCCAGCTGCTCACCTGTTTTGACAACTAATTGCCATATCATAGTAGAACAATGGCTCTGAATAGAACCTTTGATGACTTACCGTCAGGCAGGTAAACCATTTTTTAGTTATGCTGTCTAAACTCATGCATCTAGAGCTAGGTTACCCGGATCCTCCATCTAGGCTCCCGTATCCTTTTCCACCATTTCCCGTAACCGTGTCCGACACTTCTTGGACACTTCTTGAATATATACACACATTTATTCAGACGTGTACTCAATTATATAACACGTGTTTTAGTTTAAATAACTTGTGATATGCTTGTTGGACGTATATCGTACACATCAGCTCAAATTTACATAACTTGTTGGACTTGGGATGGATTCGTTTTAGCAAATACCTAGTTCATAAGTATGATTTTAAATAACCATTTGAGTTTCTATTTAAAAAACAAGCATCTTTCAATTTATAATTCACTCAATAAAAGAAACAAATAGTATAGGGGTTATAGTTCTCATAACATGTGAATGGAAAACAATATCGATCCCATATAGATTATTGATTTTAATATGTATGTATATATCCATGCCTCCATATCCTACCTTTCACAAATTTGTTATGTCTCTTATCTATCATGACCCCAATTTCTGAACCCTAAAGGAATATTGGAGCCGGACTAAACCTGTGAAAAATCCTCCAAAAATATACATTCATCAAAAGACCATCAAAATAATCTCTCATTGAAATAAAACCAACAATAAATATTCTCTATAATCCCAAAAATCAACATTAATCCAATTAACTTGATATAAATAAATATTCCTCAACTTGAAATAAAACTCGACCTAAAGGAAAGAATCTCATTATTCCAAAACTCTCAATTTATCAACTAAACATCAAAGACTTATTAACCTTCACCTAGAAGACTAACAATCTCGAATTTTATCCCTTGCTCCGTTCTAAGAGTTTGAAAAATTATCAATTCAACCTAATTCTGATTCTCTAAAAAGAATAAAAACAACACAATGAGTTCACAACTCAATAAGTGGATAAATCCGTATAATGAACACTGGTTTTGTAAAAACTCAAATATTTCGACAAATAATAAGCAAATTATAAGAATGATAGAGAATCATCAATGAACTCTAGTACTTGAAGCAAATATTTAAGAAAACTAAAAAAAACATGAAATGGAAATAAGCAAGTTACGTCTCAATGCAGTCAACACTTCATACTCCGATTGACTCGTTAAATCCTACAATTATTAAGCCCGTGGTTCCGGGACGGTGAGACCCAAATTTGGGCTCTTAGCGCTAAAATAAAACCTACAATTATTAAGCCCGTGGTTCCGGGACGGTGAGACCCAAATTTGGGCTCTTAGCGCTAAAATAAAACCTCATAGAGGCACATTGAGCCCTGGAGACCCAAATTTGGGCTCTTAGCGCTAAAATAAAACCTCATAGAGGCACATTGAGCCCTGTTTTAATAGCTTGCTTATATCCGACATATACCGGTATATTTACCTGAGATGCATATGCTTTAAGAAAATTAAACAAAGTTTGTAAAATGAAACACATTATACAAAAATGCCAAAGGCCAACCAATAATGAAATGAATCAACCACATATGCATCTCAACCTACTACTATATGAAAAGACATAACAATTGACAAATAAAATAAGCATAGGCTTATACCAAATAACCACGTGCATTTATCCAATCAACAATTAGTATGCGAGCAACCATACAAAAGGGTATAATCCATCATAATTCATAAATACATCCGCATATACTTAATGTTATTTTATATGAAAAATACGCAGTGCACAATGCATAAATTCACCACTTACACAAACCCAAAAAACTATCGGAATATCAGTCACGATGCCTCCTTAAAGTCCCTTAGAATTCCTACATAATATTTACAAATAACCATCAAAATTAGCGTATAACTTAAGACCCGAATACCTATTAAAGTAATCTCAGGATATTATCATACACCTTTTAATTAACTATACTAAAATTAATCTAAATACCCTACTGTACCCTATAACCACAGTTAAGCATTGTATACATAACAATTTTTTTATCATAGAATCAATATAATCATATGCTAAGAACCAAAATATCTTGCATGAAGATGAAAGTAAATAGATAAATAAAGGTAAGAGCAGCAATAAGCTCTTGTGTCCACCATGGCCATGGAATCAAATATCATGCATGGAGAAAAATAAATAAATAAATAAATCATATATACACATATAAGAGTTTGTGTGTGCGGTGGAACTATGACGGGAGAAAGAAGAGAAGTAGGCTGACGGGAAGTAAAGGGTAGGGTTTTGGGGTATTAATAAGAGTCCTTTTACTAATAGAACCCTTAAACAATTTATGCATAAAAGTCCATTTACTTTTCTTTATATATATTGCCAAATAAAACTTAGGATTATTACAATATCTGCACTCGTGACCGCACCTGCACCTGTATCCGCGCAACATAGATCTAGAGCAATCCTCAAAAGTCTCCAGACTAGGAGGGTGTCAATTAAGAGTAAGATGATCGTTTCAATATAGGGAATCAGATTGATACAATAGGATTGCAACTAAACTCTTAACCATTTGTCATCTCATGAACATTACAAGTAAAATAGAATCTTCTTTTGCTGATGGATGGAACTGTGATATGTTCTTTACTAAAAAAAATTCTTATTCCAGAACTTAATTCATGAGCATTTCAAAGTCTAATCCAAAGTCCAATGGAGCCTATGCCATTAAGGTATTATTAATCTACCTTTTTTTCCCCTTAAATATAAAAGCTTTTTCTAATGGTGTATCTTTCAGATGTCTAGATGCCTCGTCTATATCTTTCCATCCTGCCCATCAAGTTGCATATAAGATGCTACATTTTCTGCCGCAAATCTCATTGTTATCCCTATGAAAATATGGATTCTTGAACATCAATTTATTCTTGTGCAGGCTGCAGTTATGTTTGCCTTTTCCTTGTTACACGGTTTTAGATAATGCTCACTTTGTATGCTAACAGATTAAGATGTTTGTAACTAATTCCACCGTTCTTTCGGTTCAGGTGCTTAGCAAGATCCCGAGGCTATTTTGTTCTTTCTGTTTTGCCTATTTCTAATATGTTTTTTAACAAATTCTATTTTATTTGAAGGAGATTCATTATTGTGTTTGGTTTACTCTCATGGTACATAATACAAGCTACAAGTTAATTCTCACCTATATTGGTGACCTGCAGGCTGACATTTTCCGGGATGAAAAGAATATTATTGATCTTTATGTCATGCTTTTGCGCTTTTCAAGGTCAGGAATGTTACGATATATATAAAAAAAAATTTGCGACTCATTTCAGTTTTGGAGTAATCTAAAATGAAATCTGGAAGCTTATTCACTTTTCTGTTTTATATTTTATTTTGTTGTTCGTTTGCATTCTACTCATTTGTTTTCTATACTTAACGGTACTCACTAGGGTGGACTTTTATTTGCTGCAGTCTGATTACTGAGACCATACCATTGCATAGAGAATACGAAGCATATCTACAAAATGAGAGACTATTCTTTAGGAAGGTACTGTCAAACTATAACTGATTCCTGGATCTTAGTTTTGGAGTTTAATTTTTCCCCCTTTGGGCCTTATTCAATGTTAAGTCTTGCTACGATATTGCACAAGTTGGATATTACTTAATCTAGTAATTCATTCGTTTCTACATTATTAGATGCTAGAAATGAATTTTCATTTAGGCCAAGATAATCGTTTTGTACAGAAATTACTTCACGTACTAGATGAACTAGAGGCTTTAAAGCCAGATGCCCAGCGGCGGATTGAAGAATTAAACAGGAAGTCCAGAAATCAAGTTGGAAGGTGGGGTCAAGCTAACCAAAATTCTTTTACCAACAATTCATTGGAGTGGCCTTCAACCAAGAAGCAGACTTCAAGAAACGAGGTTAAACAGGTGACATCAGCTGTGATGATTCTTAATCTTATTTGTACATGATTATTCAAATTTTTTAGTTGTGCATAGGTAGGCGAAAAGATGGGCTCCTGAATTATGCGTTTACCATAGAGGGCTTTGTCACTTGGATACAGGCTCATTTTTGAACTGAAACCTTATGTACTTGTTGCACCTTGCAGATTTACTGGGTTCCTGGACAAGATGACTCTAGGGGTCCAATCAATCAGCATTACAGACTACCTCAGTCCAAGCCTATAGACGGACAATTTCACAAACTGTAAGTATCAACACTGAGTTGTTTTATAGCTCTAGTACCTAGTGCTGACTTAGTGCACTCAGACTGATTTATCAGTTATGAAATGAAAGATTTAGTGGACAGCTGGCATTTTAATTCTCAATATGAGGTTATAATTGCATTTCTTGTTCTTGGTAAAGGCTGTAGTTTTAACTTTATATCAGCATCATTGGACTCTCGCTTCCCAAGTTTATAGTTTATTTTATTACCATATAATCATGCATTTACAACCACACAGTATCTTTCCTCAGATTAGCTCCTGTTTTCCTTTATTTCTAATTAAATGTGTTTTATATTACTCAGTTGTTTCCTTCTCCAGTATCTCTTATTGCAATGGGGAAGTCTTTTGACTACTTATGCATTTTCGAAATTAAGTGATAGCTTTAATGGAAATCTCTTGAGTTGATACTGCTACAGATCTTTTTGCACCAAGCTCATAATGGGAAAACCAAAATAGCTTATTGATATTTGAGTTTGTATTTATCTTTTTTGCTTCTCGAATATCGGGTAATTCTTCTTTGCTGACAAGATACAACCTTCTTAGACGAGGAAGAAGTTGGCTTGTTGCATGTGGAAACTCTACTTGTACAGTTTCGTGAGGGCTTACATGCTTGAGCCATAATTTTATGTCTGGATGGATTTTGGGACACAATGAAGGATGGAAGAGAGGAGAAATAAGGCTACAAATTCCTGCTTGGCGAATTTTGTGCATTTGTTTTTCTGCAGTGTGTGTGCATATGTTTCTAAGAAAATAGTAAAGACATACTATGCATATTTTTTTAGGTCCATATCTTGTTTTGCTTTCCCTAAACAGAAGCAAAAGTTCGTGTGCGATATTCTTTCATGTTCCTTGCTTTCGGATAATGAGAAAGATGGACCCATAATTTTATGAGACTTGATTAGCTGTTTCATGTGATCTCATCCCTTAAGAATTTAATTAAACTTTAATCCGGAAGGCCACAGCTGATAAATTTCATGTACCTTATTTCATTTTATTAGATATTTTGCGGTCTTCTATGTGTAAAAACTAAAGTGATGTTTGTGTTTTATCTTAGCATTGACCAACTGAACTCAATATATCATACTCCCTTTAAAAGAGGGAGTTGTGGAAAAACTTTCTATGGACTATATTACCCCTATTCTTTTTTGATATTACTGTCTAATCCTAATTAAACTAAATTAATTATTATTAGTAATTAATTATATCATATGTCACTTTAAGTTTGTTTAACTTAGTTCCTAAAACTTCCAATGTTATTGTAAAACTCTACATCATATTAATTATTACTAATGTATAATAATATATTAATAGGCAACTTGCATGTTAATAAATTATTTATGGAAAGAGTAGAAAATATAGAATTGTTCTGTTAATAAATTATTTATGGAAAGAATAGAAAACATAGAATTGTTCTAAAATTCATACTCCCTTTAAAAGAGGGAGTTGTGGAAAAACTTTCTATGGACTATATTACCCCTATTCTTTTTTGATATTACTGTCTAATCCTAATTAAACTAAATTAATTATTATTAGTAATTAATTATATCATATGTCACTTTAAGTTTGTTTAACTTAGTTCCTAAAACTTCCAATGTTATTGTAAAACTCTACATCATATTAATTATTACTAATGTATAATAATATATTAATAGGCAACTTGCATGTTAATAAATTATTTATGGAAAGAGTAGAAAATATAGAATTGTTCTAAAATTATATCCTGACACTCATATAAGAAAATTACAAAACTTTCTATGGACTATATTACCCCTAATCTTTTTTGATATTACATTCTAATCCTAACTAAACTAAATTAATTATTACTGTTAATTAACTATATTATATGTCACTTCAAGTTTGTCTAACTTGGTCCCTAAAACTTCCAATTTTATTGTAAAACTCTACATCATATTAATTATTACTATATATATAATAATAAATTAATAGGCAAATTGCATGTTGATAAATTATTTATGGAAATAGTAGAAAATATAGAATTATCCTAGAATTATACCATGACACGTATATATGAAAATTACAAAGAATATTCTTGTGTCTAGACAACGGGATAGAAGGTACAAACATGTAATTTTAAAAAATATTAGGATATTTAAGTGCAACAAGATACAAGTGGAGGTATATAACTTTCATAAATTATTAGATATTTAAGTTCAATAAAGCCTATAAAGATTTAAAATCTTTGTTAACCACAAATAATTGTATGTGATCCTATTGATAAATAATATTCATTATATAATATGAGGCCAGATGCTTAGCTTATATTTGTACAGTAGAGGAGGTGTGGAAAAATTAAAGCATCTTATTTTAAATAATCCCGAGATTTTGAAATTTTTTTTTCTGAAATTATATACATTGCTTAAAAAAACTTTAGAAGAGTCTTTCGAAGGACTACTACAAAATTTTGGGCATCAAATAAATATTAGACAACTAAAATCTATGATATTAGATTGTCGAAATCTGGGATATGTAAAAAATATCGAGTGTCATATGAGATAATATTCATACATATATAATATTGTAAGATATAATCTAATATATTAATGAATTTTAAATATAAGAATTTGCATGAAAATATATGCTTAAAATATGGGAGAGCCGAGAGTGGAGAGATTTGTGAGACGAATTGTGACTTTTGTGGCTATTGTGGGTTTCACTTTTGGTTCCCAAATATGACTTAAACCCTAGCCCATAATCAATTTAAGAAATGACTTGATCTTGTCGATATCTTCAAAGGGATGTTTCGACCAATATTTTTTATAACAATCGATATATCAGAAAAAAATCCCCAAATAAAAGAAAACAATCCAAAACCATAAATATTATCGAGTAAGGTCTTTAACCTGATATATCGGCCAATATAGTGGTATATCGGTCGATATTTAATACATTTCCTATAAGAGCAATATTTAAAGATAATTTAGATTTAAATTCCTTGATTTTAGATATACAATAATTCTATATTATTCCCTCAAAAATTTGAAATTTCTTATAATTTAAGGGACTAATATTGAATTGTTAAAAATTTGAGGGGTAAAAATGTGAACAAGCCAAAATTTAAAAAAGTGTTAATTTTTTTTTTGAAAACTCTCTCAGCTATGGGGATTGTCTCAAAAAATCCACTTAATTGATTTAATTTGGCAAAACATCCTAGCTGTGAGGGTGTTGTAGATAACCTCTCTTAACTTTGGTGCGATTTTAGAAAACACCTCTCGACTATAGCGTGTCTCATAAAAACTTTCCTGATTTTTTACACTTCTCTCAACAAAACCCCTTAATGTGGTTACTCGAATATATGATTTGGAGAAAATACCCTCTTGAAGAAAACTATTTTAGTTAAAAAACTCTCAACCGATAATAAAAGGATCACGACCAATTTATAATTCTTTTTCCTTCTATATTTCCTATTTTTCTTTAATCTAGCAGAAGCCAAGCTAATTCTTTTATGGTTGAGGGATATTTTGGTCTTTACAAATTAAATAATTTTCATATGATAGATTGGACTCAATGATATTAGTTTTGAGCGGTTAAGTGAGAAAAGTTTATAAGATTAAATCAAAAAATTGAAGTTGAGAAAGATTATCAGTTGAGAAAGATTATCTACAACACCCCAAATTTGACGAAGATTTACTCAGTTTTAAGTCATCAATTTTCGTGGTCAAAGGCCTGAGTTTGAGGTTTCTCACCCATGTCCTTTTAGTTTCCTACCAACTTAGTGACTAGATGGGGTAGGGGACCCAGTTCACCCATGTCCATGGTTTATTGGTAAGGGTGGGGGGCTAAAACTCGGGTCTTGACATGGGAATCCTTCTGTCTTACTAGGTTTCCCTCATATCAAAAAAAAAAAAAAGAGTTAAGGGGTTTTTTTGACATTGCCCCCCATAGCTAAGAGGGAGTTTTCTAAAATTAACCCTTAAAACTCAACTTTAGGCATATGTGATATCAATCTTATAAAAGTAGATTTTATAGCAAGTATATCACTCTATGAACTGATTTGGGTTATGTGTCCTAAGATTTATCTTATACATCAACTCTGAAATTTTTTTGCTACAAGAATCTCTAAGAAAAATTTAAACTTTATTTGTGAAGGGTATGTGATCCTTCAGATTCACCTTGTCTTTCATGATTTGTAATAAACTATTTGACAAAATATATTAAATTGTTTATTTTTATAGTTCTCACCTTCTTATAAGCTTATGAAGCACGTAGCTTGGGTATGAGTATTGTTGCGGATAATAGATTTTTATAACTATTAACCTAAATTTTTGGATGTTGTTTGATATTGGATAGATCTAAATTATTTGTTAAAATACAATCCATAGTGCATAATATGTATAAATCATTCTCATATTATGTTTTATAATTTTCTGAAACTAGAGAGTAATTGTTTTGACAAATTAATTAATTAGTTGGGAAGATGTAGAAAGACTACAATATCAGATTTTGGAATTGATCATATAATTTATGTTTTCTTTATTGATTGAATTTGTACATTCTGACGAAGAAAATTCTAGAAAAAACTTTTTGAATATCTACAATACTTGGTCGCCAAATAAACAATAGGTGGAAGTAAACAATAGGTGAAAGTGATTTCTTTATAGTTAAACAAAATCCTATATGACCACATGAAACCTACCATTTTATTTTGATGAATTCAAGAATTTATTTTTATCATTAATAATAATAGATTTTTTTATATTGGTCCCTTACATCATTAATATTTTGAAATTAGATCTTCAAATCATTAAATTGCTCTGAAGTGAAGTCATTAATATTTCAAGACTTTTTTTTCTGTGGAAGACAAAATGTTGAAACCAACAATATATTATACATGAAAATATCCAAAAAATTTTAATATATTATGATAATCATAAACTTTTTTGCAAACATGTTATAGTAAATAAATAAATTTAAAATAAATAATTTAGATATTTGCCCACGTGCAGTGCACGTACATTCCAGCTAGTATTTGTATATTTCCAGTTGAGAAGCTGATATCAGGTGGACCATTAGTATCATAAGTTTGTCAAATATTCTCTTTTCTGACCTCATGTTAGGACAAACACAGATGATAGCTTTCTAATTATATAACATTGTGCGTATATTTGCGTAGCTATCATATCTTATTAACTGATTACTGGAACTTGTTGAGTCTACAATCACAAGAAACAGAAGAATCACTAGATGAATTATTAGCTATAAGGCTCTTTGCAATGAAATATAATAACAATTTTAATTCATTCAAGTAGTGATAGAACAGAACGCGCATGCAGAACGGTACATTATTTTTGGTGGTTCATAAAATTGCAGGAAGGCTTATGTGCAGAAGTTATGAAGAATGACCTTTCTACCACTGAGCTGAGTCTGATTCTGTGATGTTGTTAGCTCGTGTAATATATAAATATGTAAGAAAGTAATAATTGTGCAACTATTAAAATGATGCCAAACTTTTGGAACGATTTCCAAATAATTCAAATTTTCTCACAATTTCTCATCCTGCAGTTTTCCTACTCCAAACATTTTTCTGGTTTTGTGTTTATGTCTACTGTTACAAAAAAGTGAAAAGTTGGATCGGAAATGCTATGGTACTGTATAATGAATCTTATCATGGATGTTTTGACTTCCACAAAGTTGCACAATTTATGCCATATCAAGCTGGCCTTTTCTGATTCCGGCCCCTGGAGTATCTCACACCAATTTTCCCAATTTTCATGCAGGCTTTAAATTCTTTCATGAGAACTTTGAAGAATTGCTTTAAATGCTTGAGCTTGTATTATTAGAAGCCAAACAGTGACCATGATCTACTTAATGAATAATACATAAATCTTCTTAATTTTGCTAGTTTAAGATGTTGTGGTGGTTGATATTTTTTCCAATAGTATTTATATTTCAGAGTCCTAATTATTACCTTCTATTGTTTATTGTCAATTCAATCTGTCTTGAAGAGTTCTCTATTTCCTGAAACTTATATTTGCTTGACACATTTTTGTTCTCTTTGCAGTTCTCTTAACATTCCTCGTCCTAAGGAGGAGACATTATCAAGACATTCCATCTTAGGTCCAAATGGCCTCCATGGACATTGGCAACCACCTATTCCTAGTCGAGGGGTAATGTGAATCTAATACATCCTTTATTTCCACAGATTTTAGGGAAATACTAGATCATTTTCTTTTCTAATTTCTTTGTTTTTCTGTTCTTGGTGCAGATTCAATATCCAAGCAATCTTGATTTGACTCCAGTTGACATTCCAAGGTCAAGCTTTGACTAATCTTTCAGCTATATCTTCAGTCGTTGGATATATCTTAGTTATGGTTGATTTAATAAAAACATTCCATATATTGTACAACTTTACAAAAGTTACAGCGACTAAAACTTGGACTAATGCGAATGGAGGAAATATGTACACACACACACACACACACACACTTGTTTCAGATTTGTGATTCTTACTGGTACCTCAGAGAAAGGATAACATATATATATATGTATGTATGTCACACACACACGCACCATATATATGTTATCCTTCTCTGTATAGGTATATAATATTATACTTATATATATATAATAGTATATAATATATTATGGTATATTATATATATTATATATATTATATATATGTCAACACACACACACACACACACAACACACAACACACACACACACACACTGCATGCATGCGATGCAATATATCCTGTTCGAATTGTAAGCTGTACTGGTACCTCAGAGAAAGGATAACATATAAAGCATATTTTGCTAAAAGAAGAACTGTTTAGACAACCGGCAGGCTTCACGAACCTCGTGTCAGTCGAGTCATCCATCAGGACTGAATTTCTTTTTGTAGGTTTTGATAAATAACACTAGCAGTAGTGCTATTTGGACCTCTTCACTGTAATTAGGTGGAACAGGATGACTGAACTTTCTGGTTTAGCATAGCTATGTGCCCTAAGTGCTTTATCATATTTTGCTTACTTGTGTGTGTGTACATAAATATAGAACTGAAGGAGTTTTATACTCTGTTTTTATGGCAAGCAGCCTCCTTCAGCCGACACAAGATGAACATTCAACTGCAAAAGTGAATGTTGCTTCAGAGCATGTCAAGTCTGCACTTGAAGAAGTCCTTTCGTTGCATGATGATGGAGCAACGGTACATGCTGAAGAACCAACTTCGCTGATTACCTTTGATATCATGGAAACTACTCCTAAGATGGATATCCCCAGAGAACCTTCTCCTCCGCCTGTTCGTGCAGAAGTACAAGATTTGGCTGCTATCACATCTGAAATTTCGTACCCTACATCTGGACAGACAAATTCTCTTGAGGATGTCCGCACAGAATCTCCTTTGCAAGTTCACATTGTATGTACTGCACCATTTTGTTAAGCAACATAGTCCCCCTACCCCCCCCCTCCCCCCCCAACCCACCCCCCCCCCCCCCCCCACCCGCCCCCCCACCCCCCCCCCCCCCGCCCCCCCCGCCCCCGCCCCCCCCGCCCCCTCCCCCCACCCCAACCCAAAACACACCACACCACACACACACAACCCCCCGAAGTCAAACAACAAAACCACACATGCAGAATCACCTAGTTATCCACACAAAGAATATGTTATCATATCATCTGAGTGTTTCTTCCAACTGTTACTGTATTTGCTTTTGCAGTCTGCGGTGTTGATGGACAGCTTTATGAGGGTTGCTAAGTCAAATACTGATAGAAACTTAGAAACTTGTGGAGTTCTTGCAGGTTCACTTGTAAGAAAAGCAACTTCATTCGTCTTTTTAGTTAGTTTCATAAAACTTTGGTTAGATGGATTGCTTACTGTTTTGATATTTGCAGAAAAATAGAAATTTTTTTGTAACAGCTCTTATCATCCCAAAACAGGAGTCAACCTCTGATTCTGTAAGTAGCTATTTGTAATGCTTAGATTAGTGGTAGTTATTAAGTCCAATAATAGTAATTATTATTTTCTGGTTACTCAGTGTTCAACGACAAATGAGGAGGAAATATTTGAGTTTCAGGATAAGCAATCTCTTTTCACCCTCGGGTGGATTCACGTAAGTATTCCTACTTGTAATGTCTTTTTTTGCAATAGTATTTGCACATGATAAATTATCATATTTTTATTAGTTATTAGGTTTTCTTGGTTGGCACAAGGTTGGTTTTGCAGCACAAAATTCTCTTCTATGGTTTTTCAAATGTTGCACTTCTGCAATTTGCATCTCTTTCTTTGCTGATAGTAGTACTATTTTTCACGTCGCTATTGACACATCTTCAATTCTACCAACATCTTCAGGGTGTTAATTTATTTTGTGGAACAGTTCTTTAAACATGCTAAAGGGGATTATGATCCTCTATCAACAACTTATTAGTCCTATTTCCAGTATTTATCAATGCTTTTAATTTGCTTCATTGGCTAATTTTTTATTTTGATATCCATTATTTGAATGATCCTGATTTCTTTTGCAATAAACAAAATGTTTGTAGGTCAGTAGTTCTGGCTGATTGAGAATATGGCACATAAACTTTTTTTTAATGGGAAAGAAGAGAATAAAATGCTGTGTGAATGTTAGGTCGATCAAATAGAAGAGAATGCTATAGATTTAAAGAGTTGCAGCAGGATAATACTAGTATAACTGTTGCAGGAGAAGAGAGATTTGTTAGTGCTTATAAAGAGGATCGCCTCAAAATGCTAAAAGTTGACATTACTCAGTATTCTTATTAACAATTTTTGAGAACAGCAATATTACGAAAGTAGATGTATATCAAGATTCCATTGAATTCAAACTCTGGTTAAGTAGCTCATAAACTGTAAGGACTACATTGTCAAAAGTAAAAGCTAGAAACTTATCCTTTTCCAGATAATGATTTTCTGATGGAAATCTTGAATACCATTAGCATTTTTAAAACTAGATGTACTTTTGTTTAATAACTATATGTAAGTCAAGAAAGTTCATTATTGATATCATTATTCTCTCTAAAATAACTATGAAATTTATTTATGAGAAGTTTAAATTTCTTTCAAATGCATAATTGAACCTCGTAAAGGAGAAAGCAAAGTAATTGAATCCATCAATGGTTTTGAACAATGTACTTTCCTTATCAGAGTTGGTGGTTCAGGAATTTAAATTACAAACTTCACCAAGAAAGGGGCTTTGTAAGCGTTGGTTGATATCAATCTGACTATCATTATTCTGCAAAATTTTGCTAGGCTATGGTTACTTCTTTTTCCCCCCATATGTATTAACAGATGTTTATATGAGTTGATGAAAACTAATGAATGTGACTGGTAGAAACTAATGTTTTTCAGTTTAGATGTAAACGGCAACTTATCTTACCTGGTCCTACACTCTGCAGGAATGGTACATATGTTTTTCGAGCCTTTCATGTGGGCCTAGGTTCCCTTATATCTGTGTTTATAAATTAAATAAAATGTGGACTACTTAAAGATGCTCTATTCGTCATATCTAGTTGTGTTTCTTCTTAACTAATTAGTTCAAAATGTGAATGAATAGTTACTCCTTCCTTTTTATATGCTGACAGTAATATGTGTTGCTCACTAAGTCACTATTTGCTTGAAGAGGTTTACGTTGCACCTGGTGTTATTACAATAAACTCAATGAACTCTATTATTTTCTTTCATGTTGGAAGTTAGCACAAGTTGTGTGCACTTGGCATGATGTGTTATAATCGCTGACCTAAACAATATCTCCAATCTGCAGACACATCCTACACAGTCGTGTTTCATGTCGTCGATCGATGTTCACACCCATTATTCTTATCAGGTGGGCAATGATTAGATTCTTTCACGTCTTATTATGCTCTTGTTGGATGCTTGCATGTACTATGTTTTCTTGTTCTTTAAAAGAATGCTAATCCTAATCCCCATTAGATTATAGAATTGACTAATTGAGTATTAAAACTCAAAGTAGATTCTGAGAAAAGTGAACTCACCCATTTTGTTAGGAGTCTGCTGGATAACCACTAATCTGAAGGTCTAAAAATCAAAATTCCTAACATAAATAGACTAAGGGGGTTTTCGATCATAGTCCCTCAAACCTTCAACATTTTGATATTAGTCCCCCATATCATTGAAATTTGAAATTATTCCCTCAAATCTCATAAATATGTTGAAACTAGTCCCTCTGTTATCTAATCTGTCCAAATCTCTTAACCATGGTTAGTTTTTTCATAACCATGGATAATGGGTTTGAGTTTGTAAGTAAAGGGGTATAACGAACAATCCAATGCAAATGTTAAAGGAATATTCCATTCCAACAAAAAAAGACCTTAACTAGAGGGACTGATTTCAACATATTTATGAGATTTGAGGGACTAATTTCAATGATTTGGAGGCCTAATATCAAAATACTGAATATTTGAGGGACTAATATCGAAAAAACCCATAGGCTAGACATGGGTAGAATATATGCTACTGAGGACATACACTTTTAGTTAGTTACTCTTCTCTTGTCCAATGTTTTACTGAAGGATAACTTCTCCTCAACTTTTATCAGATTATGTTACCTGAAGCCATTGCAATTGTTATGGCACCAAGAGATGGTTCAAGGTGAGTCTCCTCTTCTGCCTATCTCTGGTATTCATGTTCACTCTTCATGTGTGTGATAACTGGCTTTATAAGAGCAATATGCAGCTTATTCAGTTCATAATATCAAATCAGTTGGACAATTTATTAGACGTACTTCGGCCAAAAACAAATATTAGTAGTTAGTTTGATTTCTAATAGATGTAGATGTCGATGAAAAATTATTAAGTGATTCTGTCCATTTAATCAGTTAAAATAGTTGAAAACAGATATAGTGGTATAGCATTTGATGATATTTGATGCACTTAAGCAAATACCTACTACCTGTGGCTTCTGTTTCACTAATTCTACATGCACATTCGTTGCTTCCTATGAGCTCAAACAAATGGACATTTAGGTAGTGTAATATCAGCGTTCAGTTCCAGAAATGGTGCTCGCCTGCATATTGTAAGGCGCTGCTTAGATCAATTTTTGTATCATTTCTCGAGTAATTACCCTATAGGGGCTAATGAACTTTGATTTTTGGGATCAGATTGTTATATTTATTAACATTATTATTCTTGGATTCCTGTTAATTTGAATTGAAACACGATCAATATTTTTTAGTGTCCTTTTTGAAAAAGCCATCAGACTGACAAAGAAGGTGAACCATTTTAGATTATGCAATGAAAAGGATTGTCTATTGCCATTCTCAGCCTCAATTTTTGTTTCTTAACAAAACCTTGCCTTTAGTCATTGAGCAGTTCGTCTGCAATACCTATTCTTAGAAGAGATTGGTTCATGAAAGCTTGTTCTTTCAGTCTTTGGGAGCTTGTAAAAGGGCTGTTCTCATACGTTGCAGAAAGTTGCTATCTTATTAAATATAACTATTATTAAGCCCGTGTGTTGCTACGGGTATTATTGATCGAGTTATATCTGTTGCCAAATTGATAATATAGTTTTTATATGTAACTATTTATAAAAAATTTAGCGACAATTTTTTTACTACTATTTACAGAGTGATTTTCCAAACCAGTTAACAAAATAAAACACAAATTAGCAAGTTTTATCAATTTTCTATAATAGAGTCAGAAGAGATTTATATTTGTGAGATAAAGGTTAAATTCATCATTTGCAAGAACCAAAAAAATGAAATATTATTTCCAAGGTTAAAAAATGTTACTTCAGCTTGAACATTGGAAAAGGGCAAAATTTACTGTAGCATGAACAATATTTACGTGAAAAAATCATTGCAACATGAGCAGTATGGCTAAGGCTTAAATTTATTACCGTAGCATGGACAGAAAATTTAACATACTGTAGTACAACGCTGTGAGAACAGTGTCTACTGTAGCATGAATAGTAATCTTGAGGTTCTGCTTTTAAATTAGAAGAAATAATAGATAACTACGGGCATCTGCTGTGACTCTAATGACCGTGCTACATTTCGAGGACAAAGTGGGTCATATAAATATGTATCGTCTTAGTCTAATTGCGAGTATGATTCAAGTGATATATAAATGATTTGGTACTAAAACTTGGATGCTACACAAGAAATATTTACATACAAGTTTTCTATTCATCTAAAAATTTTAGGGGTTTTCTTGTTAGACATTACCTGCAGTTTTCCCCCTTTCATAGATACCATATTTTGTTATAAACATATTTCACTAATCTGAATCTTTTCCCCCTACAAATGCAGGACACATGGTATATTTAGGCTTACAGCTCCTGGTGGCATGTCGGTAATAAGGCAATGCCAGCAGCGCGGTTTCCATCCTCATCCAGAGCCATTGGATGGCGGTCCAATCTATGACCGCTGTTCCGATGTATACATGAATCCTAAACTCAAATTTGATGTTGTAGATCTCAGATGATGATGGTAATGCTCATTGTATTGAAACGTCATTATGAACTCACTATTGAATCACTTCTTTTGTTGTACATCTGATAATGGAATATTGTGGGTATTTCAATAGTGGTCGCTGGTCAGTTTTTCAACCCATAATTTTGTATAAAATTTGATGTTTGTGGATCTCAGATGATGATAAGCTCATTGTTTTTGAAACCTCTCTAGAAACTCATCATTGAATCATATTACCGTGAATCCCTTTGTTATACATGCGATGATGAAAAATTGTGTATATTTCTTTATGGATCAGTCATCTGGTTTTTCAAATCATAATCTTGTACAAATTTTAATGTGGATCTTAGATGTTGATAAGCTCATTGGATTGGGGCTCTCTATGAACTCATCATTTGTCCTATGTGCGTTGTTAGCTTTGAGTTCTTATGTTGTATATCTTGCAAGGAAAAACTGTGGATAGGCTTGTTCTCAACGAACAATTATTATAGGTTGAAACTGATTATATTCGTCCCACATGGCAAACTTGAGATACTCATTTATATATATAAACAATGTACTTGATTCGAAATAAAACAAATATATGAAGACGAGATTTTTGATATAAACCTATTCATACTTTTTTCTTAAAAAATCGACCCACTTTTGTTTTATTTACAAATATCGACCCACTTTGTTGTCATGTCAGCATCGTAGCCATGAAATGAGCCGATTTTTTTTTAAACGCGTTGCTAAATAGTCGGGGTTGCCAACCCTGATTATTTTGAACGTCCTGAGTAATTTACAAGCTAAATCAGTCGGGGATAGAAAACCCCGACTAATTTAGCATACTTTCTAATTGGTCGGGGTTGGGAACCACGACCAATTCGAAAGCCTTAGTTCGAAATGGTCGGGGTTCCCAACCTCGACCATTTAGCATAGACTTTTGCTAAGGCAAAATAGTCGGGGAATTGGCTAAGGCAAAATAGTCGGGGAATTGGCTAAGTCTCAAAGTAGTCAGGGTTGCCAACCCCGGCTACTTATACTGGGTCCCTCCCCCTATATAAACCACCCGACTTCTTTCTCCCGCAAACTCATCTCTCCCAGCCGCCTCCCTCTTCTCCTCTTCTGTCGTTCTCTTGCACTAGTGGATCGGATCTCAATTTTCACCCCATTTTCTCGGCCGAAATCCGAATCAAAAGTTTATTCAAGATCTCTAGGTAATTTCCTCTACTCCTCTCCTCTTTGAACATGTAGATATCTAGGGATTTTTTTTTACTCAAAAACGAATTTCTAGGGTTTTCTCTCTAGGTGGTTAGAATGATTTATACGATGATTGTTATTGCTAAAATCAAACTTTTAGGGCTTAGAATGATTTTAGGTGGTTAGGATGCTTTATATGATTCTAGGGTTTAGGGTTTTCAATTTGGGATTAGGGTTTTTGATCAAAATTATATGAGATTATTTACATATAGGGTTTTCCTCTCTTATTCGATGCTCTGATAATATTATTTAATTTATTTTACATTTAAATAATATAATCTTCTTTTGAATAGGTTGGACAATATGATTTTTATTGCTTGCTCTTATGGTGAAAAAATTAATTATGGAATGAATAATATGCCAACGTACGTCGGAGGGGTAACAATGTCGTTAATGATCTCGGAATCATATAGTTACTTTGACTTGGTTAATGAATTACATCAAGTTACGACAATTGACCCACGAGAGTACCAACTAAAAATAATATGCAATTGGCCCATAACGTTTGATAAAACATCCGCAGTTGAGATCTCAAACGATTATCATATGAGTATTATGTTTAATTTGAGCAAGTCGCAACCAACAATAGAATTATTTATTAAAAAGTTGCCACATAGTTCGTACCAAATATTCAACACTCCAGGAGAATTCTCACGCATGTTAGATTTGGAAGTTAAGTTTGATGATTTTCTTTCTTCTTCGAGTGAAATTAACCGGACTCAATTTCAATATCACGGTGGTGCACCTTCATTCGCTAGAACATCAAATGTCATGAACAATGAAGTCCTTTATAAAAATATGAGGCCGTTAAGAAGGGAAACAGTTGAAGAGGATGAAAGAAGCAACACCTCTGAAGGTGAAGATGAAGATAGTGCACTAATTGCTAGCATGCAATTTGTGAGTGAAGATGATGAAGCAATGCCTCATAGGGTATGCGCCTCGACAGTTCCGAGGAGACACGGGAGCATGCTCAAGTCGTGCACATGATGAAGCTGACGGCTCACAACAAGCTCAAGCCGGATGTTCACAGCAGGTTCGAGTCGATGAGGATGTCATGCACTCCCAACTTCACACACAACCAGACGAGGATCTCATCCGAGCTCACGTCGAAGGTGAACGGGGAAGGGGGAGAGGAAGAAGATGGAGAGGGAGAGGGAGAGGGGAGAGGAAAGAGAGTTGTAAATATTTGTGAAGTTTCGATATTTTTTAAGTTTTGATATACTTGATAGGATGTTTGCGTTTGAAACTGAATATTACGTATCCGATTGTGTATGGATTATTAGTAAGTGAATTGCATGGTATGTATCCGATTGATTATGGATTTTTAGTAAGCAAAATGAATGTTTGCGATTATGGATTGGTATGTGTGTTATTTGTGTTTGTGATTGCATTGTGGATTGATAAATGTGTACCAAGATTTGGTGGATTGATATTTATTAATAGGAGTATGATTTTCTAGCTGAATGTGGGCTGGAAGATCTTTGCAAAATAGTCGGGGTTGGGAACCCCAACTATTTTATGCACAACGTGCACGAAATAGTCGGGGTTCCCAACCCAACTATTTTGCCTTAACCAATTCTCAACTCTTTTGAAACTTAGCAAAAGTCTATGTTAAATGGTTGGGGTTGGGAAACCCGACCATTTCGAACTAAGGCTTTCGAATTAGTCGGGGTTCCCAACCCCGACCAATTAGAAATTGTGCTAAATTAGTTGGGATCTCTAACCTCGACTAATTTAACTTGTAAATTACCCAGGACGTCCAAAATAGTCGGGGTTGGCAACCCCGACTATTTAGCAACGCGTTTAAAAATAATCGGCCCACTTCGTGGCCACGATGTTGATGTTGCCACGAAGTGGATCGATATTTGTAAATAAATCAGGAGTTGGTAGATTTAAAAAAAAAATGAATGGGTTTATATCAAAAATTTCTTCAATTTATGAAACAAAATTAAAACACACATGCCTTAAAAGGGATAAGAGAATAAACTATTGATTACAGGCCATCTATCACAAGCAAACAATGGTTCCTCCAACTAATCTACCAAACCCTAGACCCGCATACAACCTTTCTGCCTGCTCTAAAAAAACATCACCATCATCGACATAAAACCCTAATAAAGGATTAAGTAATCCCAAATATTATATTCTCATGTCAACAAATGGAAGCTGTAGTATGTATCTTGCTCTTGTTTAGGATGTCCTAAGCGCAATCTCTAATCCTGTGTTAGACTAGAGGTTTAATTTAATTAAGAGTATAAACGAAGTGTCTCTATCTTAACCTGCTTGACAATGGCACTTTGTTTAAATAATGTAGTTCAATTGGCCGTATCTCCTAATCATGACCCGGTAATCTTAACATTTTGAATTAATTTAAAGGGCGCCAGAGACGAATATACAGTGAATTGACTATTATTCTCTGAAGCACTAGAAATCTTCTCTTGTCTACAACAAAAAAAAAAAAAAAATCTTCTCTTGTCCTTATTTGATCTATATTCGCGAATGAATAGATAAGCTATTTGACTCATTCTGATACAAAGATAAATACTTGAATGTATACCAAATATACAAGAATAATTACAGTCTTTTTGTATCACAAAACATGTATAACTATACGAGGAATCTTACATTCCTATACATGTTTAAGTGGAAAAAAAAATGAACTCTTAATTTTTTTTCCCTGAAACTTCAGTTTGTATTTTAGCCGTTTAACATTATATAATTTGATGTGCATAGGATTCTTTTTTTTGGGTGGAATATACAAAATTCTTTTGAGAGTTGCACCCATTTTTCCTCCCAAATTTCAATCATATTCGAAAATATCAATGTCTAATTCTATCTCACCCTAATTTTATGTTTGCTGAATTTGAATCTTGATTTTAAAACCCCCTATAATATACTCGTTTTCAACTCTATATTTACAACTAAAATTAATATAATGATATCAATATCAACTTTAGTGCGTCAATAATATGAATAAGAGGAACACCGGCCAGTGGCGTAGTGGTTGGAGCTTGAGCATTGGCTCAAAAGGCCAAAAAGTGATCCATTTCTAGGCATACTATTTTCAATTTATAATTATTAGGCAAAACAACATTTGTACTATTTGGCCTAAGGCCTAGCTAGTATGAAGCCATGTTCCCCATCCCAAACAGAATATGAATAAGAGGTCACATCCTTGTAGATCCCTATTTTTTAGTTAATTAGATAGCTGAAAAAACACAGCATAACCCCTAAAAAGTCGATCCAATAGTTGCTATGTGCTATATTTTAAAAAAAGAAATAGGGAATAATGGGTATGATGTGGTGGCTCATTTTGCTAAATGAGCCACCAAGAAAGGAAGTTACGAGGTCCACGTTTTTGACGTCACTAGCAAGGTGGGTCTCATCGCATAATTATATCTTGGTAGCTCATGTACAGCTTGTTTGGATTGGGGTTAAGGGGAGGGGGCACATTAACTTGTTTGGGAATTCATTTTTTATATATAATGAAGGGGGAGTTAAAGGTAATGGAAGGAGGAAACTTGAGATTTTGTTCGCCCTCAAATTGTGGTGTAATGGAGGGGAATGATACTCTTCAAAAAGAGAAATTACTAAAAGATAACTTCACCCTCATCAAGATGATTTCCCAAGGAGTGAAATAACATGTAAGGTTATTTTTATAAATGTACATATATTCTCTCATCTTCCCTTCACTTTGTGAAACTTTCTAAACGAGATGAAATAAATCCCCTTGGTTCTCCTTACTGATTGTCAAACAAATTTTGTAAATTACCTTAACTTCCCCTAGCTTAACTTGTTCTATGTTTACTTAACTTCCCTTCAATAGGGGCAAATCCAAATAGATTCTTAGCAAAATGAGCCATCACCTCATAAGTATTGTTTCCTTATATGTATATTTATAAATTGTAGGTATTGTCTATTTTGTCTACAAAATTACTCAAAAAAAATGTTAGGACCTTTTCTACTAGTCAGTTGGGGCTTTTACTCCGTCTGCAATATAATCTATCTGTATTTAA